ATTGATGAGTACGATAAAGTGAGAAACTGACTTAAGAGGTGAAGAGAGAAAGAGAAAAAGAGAGAGAGAGAAAGGGAAGGAGAGATTGAGAGAGTGGGTGAGAGTGAGTGAGAGAAAGAGAGTGAGAGAGATACAGAGAAAGAGATACACACACAGAGAGAGAGAGAGAGAGAGAGAGAGAGAGAGAGAGAGAGGGAACCAAAGAGAAACAAAGAGGAGCGAAACAAGATAGATAGAGAGACACAACGTCGAGAAAGAGAGGCAGAGAGAGAAATAATATTAAGATATATATATATATATATATATATATATATATATATATATATATATATATATATATATATATATATATATATATGTATATAAAGTGTGAAAGAGAGAGATTAAGAGAGAGAGAGCGAAAGAGCGAGAGAGAGAGAGAGAGAGAGAGAGAGAGAGAGAGAGAGAGAGAGAGAGAGAGAGAGAGAGAGAGAGAGAGAGAGAGAGAGAGAGACGCTTTAGTTCAGGAGCAAGGGAGATAATCGAGAAAACCTCAGTCCTTCTACCAACGGTGGCTGCCCATAAACCATTGTGACAAGGTCAGAAGTAAAAAGTTGACACCCGAGGTCACAGGCAACTGATTGAAGCTATTCTGTTATCCAGAGAGTAGGACTAGGACTTTTTTGTAAACAGTTAATCAGTTGGAATAAGTGACTTTCCTAGTTTTTAAAGCCTAGTTGTCAGTACTGAAGATAGAAATGAAGTAAAATCAGATTGAAAACTTTTCACATCGAATAAAAAGAAACGCAACGTACATACTTCCCAATAGACTAATGGGTTTGTTTGTTTGCTTGTTTGTTTGAGAAAAAAGAAGTGCACCTGAAGAATAACGATTTTTTCGTGCAAGACTAATAAAAAATGTTCCTTCCATGTTGGCCATCTCTTATTTGGGGTTACATCCGAATGCCGGCGTCTGAGGTGAGGTGGTCAGGCACTTTCTCATTTCATGCAGGAATCCTGAGTTTGAATCCCATGTAAGGAGATTTTTTACGAGTATCCCTTTTTTACGAGTATCCCAGCCTTTTTGGTGGCACGTTGTATCCCACTCAACCTGGGTAGGCCCTGACAGGCTGGGTTGAAGCAGTCCATCTGCTAAAAGATCTAAATTGTGCAGATCGAGGCGTAAAATATCTACATGAAGAAAATTTTCGATCACCTACGACTGGTCAGTATAAGGATTGTTTGATGCACGAAAAAAAAAAGCAAAAAGCAACTTCAAAATATTTCGGAGTTTCACCTTGATCTCCCCCTTTCTAGAAATGGACGAAGGAAACACAAATGACATAAATAAAAGCCCCATCACCTCCTCTCTACTCTCTACACTAAGGATAAGCAGTGAACCCCAGTCCACCGTAACGCTCCCCAGAGGGCTGAGGGTCCCTTAATGGCTGGTCACAGCTCGCCTTTCACCCAAAGATTAGGGCTAATCCCTCCTGAGGATCGTCCCACGCTCGCTATCAGCCCGCCCTTCTCCTCGATGTCTTCATTGGCATCCTGTCCGCACGCTTAATCTGTTCGGCTTACCAGACCACGGCTGCTCAAAGGCTTGCAGGCTCCCCTTACACATACTCTGTATCGTGCGACAGGTTTTTTTCTCAAGCTCTTACAGTCCTAGATGTACGGAGAGTTTTTCTCTTCTTTCACTCGCATCATTCTTATCACCAGTGCTCTGAAGTCAGAACGAGTTTTTTTTAGAAAGACCCAAACGCGTCTAGCGTTCAATAAGAGTATGGTCACATTTTGACTAGGCGAAATTGAGGAGGATTCGGATTCGCTGTCAGAAATGAAGGGAAAAAAATCTGAAATGTCATACACGATCACCCAAAAAGTGGATCAGCTCATCTCCTTGAGGATACGCCATACAATTCTAAGTCTCGGAAATTGTCCGGCTTTATTTCGACCGACATGGCATGTGTCCAAAAATATTAAAATGTTGAAAAAAAACCACAAATAGTGGTAAACGTGTTAGTTGGTGAAGTAGGCTCAAAATACATTCCAATTTATTGATCTTATTTAATGAAGTAATTGTAATTGTAGATATTTCAAGTTTTTTCAAGGACACAAATTAGATCAATTAGGAAGCGGACTGTTTCGGCCCTGTTGTTCAGCGGGAACTCAGGCTGAAAGAGATACAATAACATCCCAGCAGACGGAGACAGATGGATTGAAAAAAAACAACAACCTTTTCATATAGAAATTGAACTCCCGTCTTTTGCATGTAACAACGAAGTTCCTTATTCCTAAACCCAATATGACAGTTTATTGATGATCAATAAATAGTAAGAATTGACTCACTTTAAAAAGATATTCAGATATCGAACGTCAATGAAAAGTACCAGCTAACCAAAAAAGATTGCCCAAAGAAATGTTAATAATATTTTTATTGTGGTGGCTCAATGGCAAGAGAACAAATCAGTCCACTCCTGTACAGCGCGCTTTTGCTGTGAAGAGATTATTATACACAATTTCCCAAATCGACCCGCACATTATTTGCGTAGGAATACAGAATAGGTATCAGTTTGTGTGCTTGTGTGATTGTGTGTGTGAGTGTGTGTGTGTGTGTGTGTGTGTGTGTGTGTGTGTGTGTGTGTGTGTGTGTGTGTGTGTGTGTGTGTTAGAGAGAGAGAGACAGAGAGAGCGAGAGAGAGAGAGAGAGAGAGAGAGAGAGAGAGAGAGAGAGAGAGAGAGAGAGAGAGTAGATATGTGTGTGTATGCGGTGAAACACCAAACCAATGTACCAGGATCTGGACAATAAAGATTTAGCTTATCTTATCTTATCTGAAAAACATGAAGGTCCAAAACAAAAGGTACATTTTGAAATGGGCAGCAAATTTTGAAGGTTTGGGTCCACAGAAAATAAAATCTTGACTTCCAAAATCCCAAGCAGCACACATCGGGCAGCATGTGAAACAACGCGCGCTTGGAAAGATTAAGGTGGTCCGTGATTCTGTGATCCCAGTGAACGCTGACTGATACTTCACCACCCTATAATAGTTCTGGAGGACCTTGAGACTATTTAGGGGGGGGGTGAAGGGATGAAGAACCAGTACTCTCAGCAAGATTGGGGCTGCATCTCATGTCTCCTGAGCTGTTCTGCACAAGATCAGCAACCATTTTGGTAACAGGAAAGTCAGTCGTACGTTCTTGGTATTGAGCAGAAATTGGGTGAGACAAATAGACATACGTGATTTTAGAGGAAAAAGAAAGAAGTACCTGGCGGTGGCACCCTCAAACCATCCACAATCAAAATGTTGTGACACGAGTCTTTGACACAACCAAAATCAAAGATAATACCAATCTTTATCTTAGGTTAAAAAAGAATGACGCACGCACTCAGTCAGAATCCAACTAACAGCCTTTATTTCACAGAGGCCTTCATCTGTAATCAGTGCTTAAGTTAATTATACACAGCAGCTATTGGAGCAACGGAGAGAATACGCAATAAGTAAGTACAGAGTCAATTCAAGGACTGGTAGCGTCTGATCTCCGATCATTTGCAAGCGCCCAGGTTCCAGTGACTCGCTGACGAACTGCATACGCATTAGGACAACGTTACAACAACAAATGAAACATAATATCCCTTTTATGCATGCAGTCCTTAATCGTTCTTGCTGTAAGTCAAGCATTTTCTTTATGAGCATTATAGCACACCCTTCCGACATACCAGTCTACAAAGACGGAAACAAAATATGTTTTAAACATACTAAATCTGATTTGAGATAGATTTATATCTAGACAGAAAAAGAGTTAAACCAGAAAGGGATAAAACATCAAAGCGAAAGCAATAGGTTTTTATTTGCGTTGCAGGATGACTGGGGATCCTAACCATTTTTAAAAGCTGCTGGGCTTCCCCAATGTACAACGAATCTTGCAAAATATATATCGTAACATCTTCTTCTTCTTCTTCTATCCCGTGGTTGGGGCAACCGTTGGGGCACCACTGCATTGGAAAACCAGCTCTCGACATCTATTTTTGTCCTCTGCACTCCTCAGATTGTCACCCATCGTCTTTCCTGTCCACTCTGTAATGTTGTCCTCCCATCTCCTTCTCTGCCTTCCTCTCTTTTTGTAATATCAAATAGGAGTAAAACAGTTTGGTCTATGGGTTTTTTTATTTATGCACGAGTTACAATCACCACTAAAAACATGAATTGTTTGGAAAGCAGAGCACTCGTCTTCGGGGTGAAAATCAAAACAAAAGGACACTTAAGAGAAAAGGGGACTAATACAGAGAACATATTCCAGAGCACACAAACCACATAACCACCACATCTTGGCACCATTCCAACTTCGTCATCATAGAAGTTGTTGCTCTCTCATGTTTTCAAAAGGACTATTTCTGAAGAAAAAAACACCCATGTATTTTCATCCCCAGTAAGGAAGAAAGTTAGGGGCTGTAGCTAAAAAAGAATTTGAAATGAACGGAAAAGAAATAAGAATACGAATAAATAAGAATATTGCAAAACACACAGTATTATGAAAACGGGGGCAGCTATAAACAAATACAGGCTTTACGATCCTTGAAAATGAAAAAGAAAAAAAGTAATACTTATTATGACAAAATAGGATAACGTAAAAATCAAGAGTGCACATTTGTCCAGTTGAGTTCCCAGTTCTTCTAAATCAGGGTCAATGGCAGAATTGTTAACATAATATTCTTTTTTCTTGCAGGTGTCTGGTTTGCTTTTCTCTCCTGAAATTCGTTCGTACATTTCAGTGACGCTACCTGATGCTCTATCGCCCTCCCTCGATGGAAAATAGTTGTGCACCTCTCTTTCAATTATGAAAACGTCTTCCGAAACTTGTAGTTTTCTCTGAAAATTGTCTTTTCGAATAGTGCCCAAATCTGCAAACATGCATGGCCTTTGCTCTTGACTGTAAGTCGGAGATACATCAGCAGTTTTTATGATAAAATTGAAGCCACAGAACTTCAGCACTTTTGAGCCTTGAACTAAGCGTACCTTGCCAGTACGGCGAAGATATATGAGTAACACGTTGATGAGTACACACAGAGAGCTGAGTAGAAAAAGCATGAGCAAATAGAGCAGTAAGAGCGGCAGTTTGATGGACGAGTGAGGCATGAGACTGCTGGTGCTGCTCACGTAGACTGCTAGAGAGAGGAGGACAGTCAGGGAGTAACTCAGCCTCTCTCCACTCTCCGCGGACACCAAGAAACTCGGTAGGCTCAGGAAACTCACCACAGACACAGGTACGATCATGCTCACCTCGAAATACCTCGGACGTCTTCTAAGTGTCACGACAACTTCCGTAACGCTAAATTGTTCGTCCTCTCGTCCATAAACGGCCTGGACTAGTTGCATGTCTTCCACGTCCCACTCTATGTGGCCTACGAATTCCTGAGACACTTCAACACCGTCTGAGACGAGCTCAACGTTCTTCAGCACGGCATCCAACACCCCGAACTTGAACAAACAGGTCTGTTGGTCATAAGGAAAGTAGGTCATGTCCAGGTTGCAAAACGTCGTGAAGGTACCTGTTGATCTGTAGGTCACCTTACCTGAAGGCAGAGTTATGTGATGTGTGGGTAGCTCTGTGAGTACTCCTCTCCCGTCAGGGGAGTGGAGCTGGTACATGTCTGGTGTCCAGATGTTGTCCTGCTCCAGGTACATGACGTCAATTCCGCCATACTCAGCTGGGTCCCAGGTTAAGAACGGGTCAAACCTAAAGGAAAGCAAAGACGGTATTGTATGGTATGAGTACAACGTGACAAAAAGTGAATGGTTGTTTAGGAGCAGGAACCAGGTCTATCTCTGAAATGATCAAGAAAGGAATAAGGAGAGTCCTGAAAACTCCTACCTCAATCTTCGGTTGTTGTTTTTTTAATCTAAGTTACAGTAGTCAAAACCAAAACCCTTTTGAAAAATGCAAACTGCTTCTTTAGTCCCTTCCTAACAAAGATTAAATAAGCCAAGTGAAAATAATCTCGATGGTAAAACTGAACGAAACCTTGATTTCGTCCTCATCACATTTAAGTATTTTTCTGTCATGCATCTTCACATTTCTCTAGAGATGTTACTACTGAGAGGTACAGGAGGGAATAAAGCAGCCCAGCCCTTTAAGATATTATATTTAAACTGTGTGGATGAGGTCATACAATAGTTACAGTTATTTCACATTACCCACCAGCTGTATCGGACTGCACATACGATGGTGACCAGTTGCCGAGGCTCGTCCACTCCCGTCACAGACAACAGACGAGTAGACACACGAACGGGCAAACTCTCAGACTGGTTCAGAACAGGACGCATGTGGGTACTGCAAAAAGAAATAGGAACATGAATGTGTAAAAAAGAACCGTCTATTTTATTATGGTGACTCCGGGTTCGTATCTCAATATAAAAAGGAGGGGGGGGGTGTAAATGGTTGCGGCACGTAAGAAATGAAAATTTGTAAGTATCACAATATATTTACTTTAAAACAGGCTAAATTTAGCCACCTTTTCTCCCTCCCCATAAACACCATTGAAACGCAACTTTGCTTATATTTTGGAATATCACCTCGGAATAGCATAACGTTAAGATGCTACTATAATATTTGTCTTAGTCAACATTCAGTTAAAATCAAGCTGAATCACCAATGCATTCTGTGCACGATGGTCTTTTACCACAGTAGATGCGCAAACACATTTCTTTCCAAGTTATAAACAAGCAATCATTACGGTCTACGTCAAGAAAAGACAGGGAATAACTTACTTTTAAAACTTTAGTAATGCATGAAGTCATGATCGTACCGCGTTGACAATAGACAAGGCATACCGATTACATAAAGCTGTTGATACATACAACATGAACGACGTATCAACTAACTCGAGAAAACTCTACCCATCGTTGATCTGCACACTTAAACGTCCTGTATTTGAGATTAGGGTCTAAAATATTGCTCACAAATGAAGGCCCATACCAATGCCATAGAAACTCGTTTCAGTTTCCCCTGATCTGTTCACTCACTACTGAACTGTCTTAGAATACGGCGTGATATAAGTAAAGAATGTAAACATATTTTTCATTAGATCTCAAGTCAACTCTGAAATTTCAAACATTTGGGTCTTTGACTTTATTTTAATTTTTAGAAATTCATAGTGTGATTCATGCAACAAAAAATAAAAAGGTCCCTGCCCATGACCACTCATTTATTAATATTAATTTTTGAGTTTTGTTCGCTCAGACATAGTTCAGTTGATCTGGGAGACGAGTTGTTTTGAATATGGCTGTCAAGATCAACTTGCACTATGTCGAATGCAGTTTCGCAAACGAAAGACGGAGATGCTCTAAGAAATAACCTTGTTCTTTTCCGTGCAAGAGTTGAACTCACGAATTTCGTGCAGTTCGAAGACTGTTAAGATAATACTGTAAAAACAAATTGAAAAACAAATAACACTTATATAGTAAGTACCGCGAGAACAGCCCTTACCTGTAATTGCTGGTTAGTTTCTGGTGAAGTCTGAGAAAATCATCGGTAGTTGCCGAAGTGATCGGCGTCGCCTGAACTGTCACCAGACACAGAAGCAATGGAATTGTGACTCTCATACTGAAGATCCCGTATAATTAGACCACCTGCAAAAGATAACACACTTGGCTTATGTGCAAACATGCGCCGGTCTCAATTTGGTCATCAACTGGTTGGTTCCTCTTTGGTCATCTACCAATTATTATGATAGGGTTTGCAGGTGAAGAGTCCAACAAAAAGTGATACAATAAGCCTTTTTTTAAATTGCGGATGAAGCGTTTTTTTGTTTTTTTTAATTCAACAGTATAAAACTTCCGTTAGCGTGTTCTGAAATCCAGTTTTACATTGTACCCTTCAGGGAATAAGAAACAACTTTTGCTGCTGTAAGTAAAGGTCATTAAATCTATTCTGCAAGACTGTCTAGACTGCTGGCGCCTTTATATTCTCTTTTACTGCGGTCAGATATTTTTCTTCCGTCCTGAATTTGAAATGAAGAGCTGTTTTCTGTTGTTGCAAAAATGTTTTTTTCTGGGTTAAAATAACTTCTAGCGTTGATGCTGAATGATTTATGCTCACATAAACCTAAAGCATGAAAACTGTTTCCGACACAAGTCACTCTCTTATATCCTGGCGTGTAATTTAACCAGTTTACCTCCTTTGCCTCACTTGGCCACTGCCCGCCGATTGTCTTATGAAATATAATACGAGCAGCAAGAGATCGATTTAAAAAAAAAAAAAAAGGAAACATGACGTCAGTCTTTGCCTGCTCACATATAAGTTTTGCTTTTGTAATACCGAGTTTGATAAAGCCAATTAGTTAATATTGTTATTCATTTCATAACGAACGTCGTCCAAATGTTATGTATCTGTTGACTAGTCCATTAGTTCCTCAAACATGTTCCTTACAATTGTCGCCAGTGAGAACGTGAAACAATTAGAGAAGGCAGCAAACAGGGTTACAGGTGAATGGGATTGTTTGTTTTAGTATAAGTTTTACGACGCTCGCAACTGCATAATAAGGTTATATGACCGCCGAGAATGGGATTGGTCGTGTGAATATTAGTGTTATACCAGCATGTCCTGATTATTAACTTTTCATGGAAGTTGGGCGTGACCAGTTGGATGTAGATGAGACAGCCTGAAGATTGTGTTGGGAGAGGCCGGTAAACTGACAAGAAGCAGATGGTGTCAAGAGTAAAATATCAGCGAAGAATGCGCCTACGATTCTGAAACAAAGAGTCTGTTTTACATTGGAGATAAAAATAATCATTTAATGATATCAACTGCTTTTGTGGACGGGCACCGTAAGAGTTAAAAGGAAGCCCCCCCCCTCTCTCTCTCTCTCTCTCTCTCCATAAAAGTTTTACAAAAGGAAGAGAGACAAAGAGAGAAAAGAATGTGTAAACCAGGTTATAATACTGTGCGTCTGTATGTATGAGTATGTTATGTGTGTGTATGTGTATGCTTGTGTGCGCTTCTGTGTGTGTGTGTTTGAGTGTGTGTGTGTGTGAGAGAGAGAGAGAGAGAGAGAGAGTGTGTGTGTG